TACAGAAAATTGCGACAAGAGTAATTCAATTAGCCCAGTTTTGTTTCTCTGTGATTATCTCCACAGATTGAGGACATGGATCGCATGTACCTTGTTTACCTGCAGAACAAGCACAGAGTAGAAGAGGGACGCTCCTACAACCATTACCTCACTCACCTGAACGAAATTTACAAAGCCTGTGCCAACTCCGACGACCCAGACTGCATTGCAGAATCTACCAGCAAACCCAAAGCCAAGATGGTCATGTCTGTTCCTGTGAGGCAAGCTACTGTGACAGTGTGCAACCCTTACCTCGACCCCTACTGCCTCTATGCTGTTAGACCAAAAGCTGCAGAAGAAGAGCCTTCACCCACCCCAGAAAAGGTCCCTGCTCCGATTCTGTCTCCTCTACTCCCTCTGCCTCTGAAAACCCCGCCAGCTTACTACTACGCTCCGGTCTTAGAGCCTTTCTTGCCAGCTGAGCAGAGGGCGGAACTGTTGCGTATCTGCAATCCTTCAGACACTGAGTGTTTGCAGTACCACCTGCACGCTGCTTATGGCCACAGGCCCTCGCTTGGACCTCTGCCCTCCTACGCTCACCTTGGATGTGATCCTACCAAAGATCCTTACTGCCAGCCCAAGCTGGTGCCCAGATCACCTTCAGGTTTGTATCACCTGTACCCCACTTGTAACCCCGCCACTGACCCCCTTTGCGTCACGAATGTAGTTGCACCTGCAGCCCAAACCGGTGGGAACGCAGAAGCTTCCAAAGAGCAGTTTTGCAACCCTTTGTTTGAAGAGGGCTGCAACCCCCTTACAGCTGCCAAACTAGCTGGAGTCAATAAGCCTGTCTTGGAATATGCTCCAAGAGATGAGCCTGCGCCTCTCAACCTGGCCTGCGACCCTCGCTACGATCCATATTGTCTGATGGGTGGAGCCGCTGCTCTCAGGAAACCCCCTCCGGTTCTCCCGGAGTTCCAGACCCGTCACCGCCTGGGCATCCATGGGAAGACCAAGGAAGGTTATGACTGCTACATGTTCTATGATAAGGATTGCACCCCAGTGGAGAGCCAGGGCTTGAGGGCAAGTGCTGCCAGTTCTAAACCAGACTGCCACCCCTACGACCCCAACTGTGGTAAGTTTGCCCCTCAGCTGTCCACTGGAGCTGAAGCAGCCAAGAGGGTCAAAGACAGCATCATTGAGCCCCATCCGGACTGTGACCCAGAAATCGATTACAACTGCCGTCTGCGCCGTGCAGAATCCGCAATTGAAAAACACAAAGATGAGCCAGCCCAGCAAGAACAAGCTCTCCCTGAAAATGTGGCCCCTGAGTATCCAGTTCCATGATTCGAGGACTTCTTGAGAGGCTATATGGGTGGCTACAAGAAATGAGAAGAAAAAACTGGATGAGAATTTACAAATTCAATCATGTTTATTCACATGTAGCACCGGTTTAGGTCTGTGCAAAAGAAGCAATTCAGGATCATCCAGGAATAGTTTTTGCATTGATGTTTTAGTAACTCTAGAGATGTCTAAGGTCTTAATTCTGTCTGAAATGTCATGTTGGGAAACACATCCATATATTTGGGGGTTTTGTTAGTGGTAATGTGAAGCAATATATATATTTATGTATTATATAATGTAGGGTTAGGGTACTTGAATAATATTTACTGATACATAAATCTGTATGGTAGTTTTTCTCTAAATTTGCTTTGTGAATTCTTGATATGTATTTAATGTAGTTTCTACTTTGATAAAAACAATCTTTCTCTTCTGCATTTGTTTAATATTTTCAGTAAAAAATAAATGACTTGAATTAAAGCTGGTGTTTTTTAAACATGCATTAACATAAAAAATATCACAATGGCTTCATGTTTCAGTACAGCTAAACAAATTCATCATATTGCAATACAGAAATGTATGCATTCAAAATTAATTTTCTGAGTAAATACTAAAGTTTATGTGATTTACATAAAAGTGACAACACATGATATGACAGATTGGTATATCTATTACAACAAAAATAATGTATTGAATTATTAATATAATTTGAATCATGCAAATGCAGAATCAACACATAAAGTTGATGTGTTATGCAATGGCAGGCTTTAAAAAGGGGAACAAGAAAATAGTCGAAAGAGCTCAAACTTTAAAAAGAGATATCTTCTAAGGGAAAATAAATAAGTCATTCACAATATACAATATACAACTTACAATTTACTTAGATATACATTTATTATTTTGAACATATATGCCTGCTGTAGACGGAGAAAAAGGTTTGTGTGGAATAGAAATATCATTTATTCTAAACACCATATAAAAGCACATTAAACATTAGTACCCATTTAAATTATTCACAACATGCAGCATTTGGCCAAAAGATCCCTCAGGCAGATGAAAAATGAGTGCACTTGATAACTGTTTTAAAAGAGCTTGGCATGCCAATATAGTAACACTAATGACTACTCACACAGACAGTGAACATGTTGAAATATGCATTAACTACAAGCGCACTGTAAATATGGCACTCTCAGAAGGTCCCTCAGTGGGCAAATCTAACTAAAAAAGGAACTGATGAAGCACACAAAATATACCTAATACTTGGATTACCCAACACACTCTCCCAGGGACACACGGCAGATTTTATTGACATACTTCATTATGACAGGCAACTTGAGTGCAAGAAATCAGTTGGGAAATGTTACCCAAGTGCAGACTCAGCAGCTTCGCATTTCATACCTCTGGCACCTCTGTTGTGGTTTTTTCCTTACTGTCTAATTGGCCTTAGGTGGGCTTTGAGAGGGGATATAGCAAACGTGACTTTGAACTGTTGCTTAATGCCTCAGTCAGCATGAGTCCGGTTTGTGCTGATTGCACCTCTCCATAGCCTGCATACCTGCGGGACCAGCTGAATGTCATTAAGTGGATGGGAAAGGGCCCAGAATGGTAATGAGGGTAAATATGTCCTCTGCATAAGCAAACAGAAATTAGCAGTGCGCTGTACTCAGCAGTGCTGCAGAGTTTCTAATTTTAATGTGGTCAGTGAGTGAGTTTGTGTTTGAACTGCATTCTTGAAAGGGACTGTAAGAAGATCTGGCCTTGAACAGAGATTTTAATTAGTTTGATTGCACTTCTATACAGTGAAATGTGGCCATTGAAAAGTTCTAAAGTTTAGCTTTTCTTCCCAGTAGTGAGCTTGTAAAATAACACACATACTGCTGTTTGACATATAAACTTTGACTTTGACTAATGTTTGGCCTAAAGGAGCTGCGTCTGACAATGATTTTCAAACCAGATATTAGTCATATATCTACAGTCCTAAAACTGTCCATTGTAAGTTGCCTAATGTACTGAAGGTAACCTTTTGACGAAATGAGAGATGCCCTAGTTACATGAACAGTTTTAACTATACTTTAATCTCTCTGGGTGACATACTTACAGAACATTGATGACAGGTTCTTTGTACTGAGCTTCAAATGAGAAAATACGTCTTTGCCTTGCAGGGAAACCTGCTGAGGAAAAAATAACATCAATATAAAATGGCATGACTTAAGTATATTTATACATTCAGGTGTGTCTGTTCCTATAAACGCTGGAATTTATTAACAGCTAGAGTGTTAGAGTTGAATTTTAGCATAATAAAATATTGTGCTCACGGAGGATGAAGAAGAAGAGAAGATAGTCAGCACTGTCGCACATAAGATGTACACAACCTCCTCATGTAGGCTCTGAAGCATGTGATGACATGGTGTAAAGGCTTGACAACCCAAGAGGAACATTTGTAACTGTTGGTTCAGATGGAGTTGTCTGGTACACTTCAGGTTATTCTCAAAGATTTAATTTAAGATAAAGTTGCAGTTTTGTTGCTCCTCTAGAATCTATAAAAAGTTAGACAGCCTGAATCACTGCAACACATGTAATTTTTCATTGAATCAGAGACCTGTGATTGATACTGGAAGAAATTACATCCTGATTTTCTGAATTCCTGAATTCCATTACTTACTGGGTTTTAGTGAAACAGTATGATCTGTTTAAATAAGCTTTAATCTATGCACTATGCTAAGCTTTAAAATATTTGAATGCTTATTAACAAGTAAATAAGCTATGATTAAAACTACAATTTTTTTTTGTTATTTTGTCGTAAATAATTAAATAAACTGCACAGTTTTTTTTTTTGTGACTTTGTGCCCCCTAAATTTAAGTGAGTGATGTTCACTGTCGTAAATACTGGACGTCACTGTCGTAATTACAGTGGATTGCTCTACTATGCCAAATTGTCCTATTGGGCATGCACACATCAATATTGCGCCATTTTTGTCACTCTGAACAACAATTAATTACCTTATTTGCATTATTGTAAGGTTAAGTTTAGGATTGGGGTAGGTGTAGACGTTAATAAAACACAAGCTCATTAAAGCAGAACAGACGTTTGTGGGGAACCAGAACAGAATGCCATTCGCCTTATTAGAAGCCAGTGTAGCTTATCAGAATGATTTTGAAACTGATATTTCAAGGTTAAAAATCAAAACACAACAAACAAACAAACAACAACGAAACTTACATACAGAGACTTTTAAGACACGCTTTCCACACTCATGAATTTTCTTTAATTTGTCTGATGGCACACACATAATCATCATCAAGCGTTAGGCTATGTAATTTTTGTGTCTATAAACAGCCTACATCACAGTGTCATTTTTCACCAGATCTCTAATATATAGTATTTGATATCATTCTGTGGTGGAAATTAGGGTAAGGGTAACTAAGGGTAATTTGATCAGCTACTAAGATGTTAGCTAGCATAAATATAGGCAATCTTAGTTTTAATAAAAATCAACCCCTGGGACATAAAAGCGACCGAAGTTGAAGAAACACCCAGCTATATAAAGCAAATGTAGTTGTAAATTGGCTGTGGATGAATGGATGCAGTATGGACAGGTGGATGGATGATGAAGCGGGCAGCAGCCGCTGTCACATGATCCAGTGAAGCTGAGATCTGAGCGATCCAGAAGCGCAGCTCTGCACTCGCTCTCCATCTCATCTGATGCTCGGTCTCTGTGATTGGTGAGTAGCTTCAGTGTTTCAGTTGCTGTCTTTCGCGATTTTTTAGGTCGTTATCAAATGTTGAGATGCTTGTCCTTATGTATTTCATGAGGTAATTTTAGATTTTATAGGTTTATTTTTCAAAGAGGTGCTAGATTCTTTTTATTACGTTTGATGGCTAAAAAATATCACGTTGACGTTAATTTTAAACTATAGCCTAATTAGTCTATTTATTTTATGAGCAAGGCCTGTAGGCTATTTTTTTAATGCATGCATGATTCATGAATCTTGAGTTTGTTCCGAAGTTTGCAGTACAGCCTCTCGCTTGATTTATTTTATTTTGTAAGATAGTTCTAATAGGAAGAGCTCAAATCTTTTTTTTTAATCTGATGCCAAATTAAAACCTTAAGTGTTCTGTTGTTCTTTAAAAACATCTATAGGCTACTGTATGTTCTTGTGACTTAAAGGGCTCAAACCCCAATACACCTAATTTGAAGAACCTAATGTGAAATGAAAAACTTTTTGAATCTGCAATGTGTAATAATGGCTGCGTTTGTCACTTCAGTTATTTAAATCTGTTGCATTTCACAGTTGGTTGGTCTCATTCACTGCATCTATACATAGCCTATTGCTATGACTGGTCTTGACCTTATTAAAATGATTGGTCTATGAGGGGATACTCTTGAGAATTAAAACCCTAAACTTCCTGCAAAGTTTGAAGAAAATCACATGACTTTCACAGAGTTGCCTTTCATTTTATTCAGCCAGCAATATTCCTTTTGTACAAGCACAGCAGGGGCAAAAGCATAATAATCAGTCATGTCCTCAACTAGATAAGATGCTCACAGTCTTCCTGCAAACCCATTTTCTTTAATCAATATTGTTCTTTTAGAGCCGAGAATGATAGTGCAGAAGGTGTATGTTATTCTAAAAAGAATGATTTACTATTCAGAATGTGTCAGTCAAGGGACAGGTGGGGGAAGCCAGCCGTGAAATATCCTTTCCCCAAGTAAGGCTTATCTCTCACTGGGAATTCTAGAAGGGATGGGAGTATCTACCATACCATACCTGGACAGAATTCCTGAGTCTTCCTCAGAGCTTCGCTCTACAAACCTGAATACAGATAGAGTATGTTTATTAACTTATCAGTTTTAATAGCAGGAATATTATAGATCAAAATCAGTCTATCTCCCTATTAACAATGCTCTATTGCGATTTAATTCCTCTGGTTTGTTTGGAAATTCATTGTAGATAGAGAATAAAGAGATGGAGTCTGCTCCTACTCAGAATATACCATCATCCTTAGACCTCATTGACTTTGGCACTGCAGTAATTGTACCCAGCAGGCTACAACCTATTCAACAGTGATTAAATCTTCCACAAATCTTTTAATTTAGTATTTGTAGAAGTTTCTCGCCTGTTCAAAATATTTTGTTGAAGGGAGAGTTCACTGATTTTCAATCAGCTTTGTATTGTTATGGCAGTATAAGTAAATGAACAATGTGCATTATTTTTATGTGTTACCTGCACCATTTATTAGTCAGCAAAAGCTGAGTGATGTAAATGATGTAATCATCTGGTGAACTTTTGACAGCTCCAGGGCTTTTGTGAAAACTACAGAGCGTACTTCCACATTTTTGTATCCCTGCTCACAGATAGTCTGATCAAGCCAGGTGCATTAAGTCTTTCACCCATTTTTCTTTCAATTAGCAAAAGTTTTGTTTTCCTTTTTGGAACTGATTGATCGTAGGTCACAATGATATCAGCTTATATACATTATTTTTTTCAGTGAACTTAAACCTAAGGTACATAAACTAAATTCAAAACCTGCGCTAATTGAAAGAAAACAAGTTGATAATGATTGAATCCAAGATTTGGTGATGATGTACCATAATGAGACATTTACAAGCAATTTCAACCAAATTACACAAATTAGGTAAAAGATTTTAATCACAACACGAAAATTAATAGAGTCATCTTGCGAGCAGTGAATTACCCCTTTAATGTTATATGTGAGTTTTGGATATTTGTAGGTACGTTTCATTTACAATAAAAAAACCCACAGGGAAATAACTAAATAAATATGTTTTCCATTATTTGTTTTGTTTTCAGCGTTATCAGTGATGTCAGCAGACTGTTGTTATCTGTGTTGACACAAATATGACCTCAGGGAGATGTTTTGAGACTATTTCAGTGCCCTGTTCATGTAAAAGTGAATGGATTTCAATCTTGAATTGACCCCGTATTGAGATGCACATGTCAGCTGCAGTTCATTGTGTTACCAGCTAATTAGTCACTGCTCTAGTGACCCACTCACACATGCCTGGTTGATTTTACTCTCTATTTGGGATCACCCAGCAGAGGGAGTAACTTAAATGTCTGCTTAATGCCAGAAGGAAGGTTTTAAAATAATGCCATGGCACGAAATAGTTAACAAAAGAACATTATGCCTTCTGAAGCTTTTGCGATTTCCATAAGATCAATATAAACATCAAATGATCCTTCATTATCTCATGAATGTAGATGTGAATGCTTAGTAAAGGTGAGGTGTGCTGTATACTGGATTGGTAGAAGCTCTTGTGATGATTTCTCACATTGTTTTTTTATGTATTCTGTGTGAAGTGTTTGAGAGTTTTCATGCAGAAACTGTCATCTGGACATGCACAGCATCAGGAACAGCTACTGTATAGAGTTAAACAGACATACAAACACAAATTTAGAATCAAAAGCTGCGTTAGATAAATGCAACAATAGTATCCTGTTTATTACAAGGCTAAATAAATAAATACTGTATGTGGACATAAAAAACTGATTTGAGTTGGTAATTTTATAATCTTACCTGTTTGTAAAAAAGTCTGTTGCAATGCACAACAAAACAATCAGACACAAGATGAACAGTAATTTATAACTAAATTTAGCTATTAAAATGTATGAGATGTTTTTAATAGAGAATGGAGATGGCTTGATGCCACATATATTTGGTTTTGATGGTCACGTACATTCACCCTTAACCGAGAAGTGTGAAGTACTGTAAAGAGTGTTTGAATGGGGAATGTGATAGAATAACAGACTGTGCGAGGGCTCAGTAAAGCTGGTGAAGTGATGGAGTTTGAAAGGGAATAGAAATGTCGTGTCCAGTCACAATGCCAGAGCTTTGCCATGCCTGACAACCTGAGAGAATGAGGTGAGGTTATTGTTAACACAGGGAATCAAAAGGTGTTCATGCATCAGTGATTCGGTAGGAATGATGAGAGCAGGATGCTGGTGTTGCTGAGGATCAGTCAGAGCGGTTGACTCACTGTCTCACAGATGAAATAGTTATTTTGTTTCTAGTGTATTGAATGGTAGATTTGATATAAAGGAATCTGAGAAAGTTGCATTGTTCCTTCTCTATAAAAAAATTAAGTACATTTCTTAATCCCAAATAGTTCTTTTCTAATAGCTTAAAGACTTTAGTTTAGTCATGAACTTGGTTTACTGGTAGTCAGAAGTTAGTATTGAGGGGAGGGGCATCTTCATTCTAAAGAACATTTGATTGGACAAAAAGCTGGAGAGTGCAGGATGAGTCATGAATATTTTTGTTTTGTTTTCCTGGCAGTGAAAGACTGTACATTTTAAATGCACATACCTGCTAAGGGTTTATTTTGTTAACTTTTAGCATATACACTACTGTTCAAACATTTGGGGTGAGTAGGATTTTTTTAAAATAAATTTTTCAAGATAATTTTATTCAGCAAGGATGCATTTAATTGATTAAAAGTCAAATGAATTTGTAATGTTACAGGTTTGTATTTTAAATAAATGTTGTTCCTTTGAACTTTCTGTTAATCAAAGTATACTTAAAAATCTATCACAGTTTCCACAAAGGTATTAAGCAACAAAATTGTTTTCAGCATTGATAATAATGAGAAATGTTTCTTGAGCACAAAATCAGCATACGTACTAGTATAATTTCTGAAGGGTCATGTGACACTGAAGACTAGAGTAATTCAGCTTTGCCCACAATGGAATAAATAATATTTTAAAAATATATTAAAATATTAATGTATACAGTTATTTTTAATTGTATTAATATTTCACAATATTACTGTTTTATTGTAATTTTATTCAAATAAATTCAGCCTTGGAAAGCATTGGAGGCTTCTTTCAAAAACAATAAAAAATCTTACTGACCCCTACTCTTGTGTATGAAGCTAACGGACTTGGACTAAATGCCACAAAATTCCAATATTGATTTCATAATTGTAGATGAAAGTGGATGTTTCACTTTTGAAACAGTCTCACCATAATAAAGGTGTGTTTTATTTTGAGAAGATTTGTAGTAGATATTATAGAACAGGGCTCTCCAGATCTCTCCAAAGCAATCACTGCAGACTCAGTTCCAACCCTGCTCCAATACACCTGCCCGTAATTTTCAAGCAACCCTGAACACCTTGATTAGCTTGTTCAGATGTGTTTGTCATAAAGCGTATGTTAGCTAAACCCTTGACAACAATGATTTTGCTCTATTGGTTATATTTACAATGAATACATACAAGAGATTTCTGAAGAAACACTTTGTCATCACTTGCAGTGACAGACAAGAGAAGCCTTATTTCAGAAGCTTTTTTTGAGTGTGAACTTCACACATCTCAGCTTTCTCACACTCTAGTGCGCCTCACAGCTCATTCTGACTGGTGTCTTCTCTGGTGTCAACCCTAGTGTTGCCACATCAGCCAGATGTATAGGTTCTGCATACATGAAAAGAGTGTTTAAAAAATATTCTGACAGGATCACGGGATCACCTAATATAAATAGCACTCAATAAAAAAAAACTATTTTATTTTTGCTCCATTTATAGCAACTGCAGTTATTAGCAATAGTTTGTTTTGGGAGGAGGGTGTGAATGGGTGGAGTAGGTACAGTATCTGAAAATAACTTTCTTTCTTGATCATAAACTTTTGTGTCTGTTGCCATGGAGATGGGTTAGGAAATGAACAGGTACATCATGAATGAGTCTGCTGAAACTCCATTGTATAACTAAGTCAGCTCCCTTTTTATAATGGAAATATAAATAATAGTTATTAGTTTTGTGTATCTTTTCACATCTTTCCAATGAAATTATGATATACATTGTGTATGCAAAGCAATATTCTATACATAGTCTATAGACAGAATGGAATAGAATATTCAAAAATCTTAGTGTTAAAGCGACTGTATTTGCAATTGAGATGACTGGGAAAAATTTCCCAGTTAAACTGAATTAACTCTATGCCATTTGCGCCTTTTTTACCTTGAAATATCAGTTTCAAAATCATTCTGAATGCACAGTGACTTCTAATAACGCAAATGGCTTATTCAAGGTTTTTTTTTTTTTTTTGTACATGTATCTTTTCACATCTTTCCAATGAAATTATGATATACATTGTGTATGCAAAGCAATATTCTATACATAGTCTATAGACAGAATGGAATAGAATATTCAAAAATCTTAGTGTTAAAGCGACTGTATTTGCAATTGAGATGACTGGGAAAAATTTCCCAGTTAAACTGAATTAACTCTATGCCATTTGCGCCTTTTTTACCTTGAAATTCAAAATTCAAAATCATTCTGAATGCACAGTGACTTCTAATAACGCAAATGGCTTATTCAAGGTTTTTTTTTTTTTTTGTACAGCAATTCACTGTAATTTTGACAATTGTAGGGGGCTCCAAACATCAGCAGCCAATGAGCTTGCTGTTCAACATTCAAATACTCGACTAGTGCTTGCTGTAGCAGTTGCAACATGCTTCAGAAACCCTCCACCTTCCCCAGCTCCACCTTATAGATCTGCTATGGGGTGATTTCATGCATGTTATACAAGGTGGTTATTTGTTATATGTGCAGCAGCAGTATTTCCTATGCTCACAGCAGCATGTCTGTGGATGTATTGGAAGTAGAAAGTCTTGGTACTTGTTCTGCTGCTACAGCAGCAGTGTAGCAGATCTGTTCCGCCAAGACCAAACACATTAACATTACTATGAATATTACCACGCTAAACTTGCTGTCAGGACAGAGATACAGTTACTTTAATTACATTTAAAAAATAGCTATAGTTCTTTGTGTTGTATGGAAAAAAAATGTTAAGGTTTCAAACATTTTCCTTTAATATTTGTTTTATGTGTGTTTTAGGACATCCTGAGAAGGATGACTGGGAAAACTCAAACCAGCAATATAACAAACAAGACAGATCCTCGCTCACTGAATTCCAGAGTGTTCATTGGTAACCTCAACACTGCTGTGGTCAAGAAAACTGACATTGAGCTAATTTTTGCCAAGTATGGGAAGATCACCGGCTGCTCTGTGCACAAGGGCTTTGCTTTCGTCCAGTATGCCTGCGAGGGGAACGCTCGATCGGCTGTGGCTGGTGAGAACAGCAGGATGCTGGCTGGACAGACCTTAGGTAAGTGAAATTTATTTCTCTTTTTATTTATGTAAATGACTGGACTCAAACAGGTGATTTCAATGAGGAAGATAGAAAAACCAGAGCAGGAGAAAAATGAGAAAAGGACAGAAAGATGTGAGATCTACAGAGACAGTTGATCTTAGGTCATAGCCGTTCCCATGGCTACCTGGTAAATATTCATCATCCTTTATTAAAAATTAAACTCCAATGTTGCAGCAGTGGTTTGAGTTGAACTCCAACGGGTCTTTTGTGCTGGACTGATTTTCCTTAAGGTTACTGTTACTTTTTTATCCACTACACGCAACCCCCCGCTTGCTTGATTTTATACAGAGCAGAGCATTTGTAACAAGCAAATTCAAATGGCTTGGGTTGGTTTTAGATGGCTTTGGACACTTTTCAGCTTGTCAATTGAGAAATCACTGCTCCTCATTTTAATATAGTTATTATAAAAACAGTAGTAACCAAAGCAGCCTAGTATTATTAAAATAAACATACAATGTTAAATTCATACATACATGCATACATACATAGGCCTACATACATGGGCGACATTTGACTCTTGAATCTAAATGAAATAAATAAATAAAAACAAAAGATTTTTTTTTTCCGGATGTAAGCATCAAAACAATTCCCTAGTTTATTGCAACGCATCAAAGCAGTCAATCCAACATAGTCAAGAATAACTTAAAGGTGCTGTATGTAAGTTTTTGACTCTACTAAAGCATAAAAATACCATAATATGCTTGCAGATATTTAAGAAACATGCTAAGTTAACATACTTGTTTATCTGAAAAACAATGCTACAGTCAGTTATTCTCCTTTGAAAATGTGCGTTCCGGGCCAGAATGTCGGTCTCTGTTTTGGTTTGTGAACCAACTGCCAGTTTACCCAATAGGTTATTTGCACATGACGTCACTGATGACCTGCGAAATGCAGCTGGAGGGCAGGAAGTGATTTTTCTCTCCATAGGAATCACTAGCAGAAACTCCAAATGCCAGTGTTTTGCGTTGTTTATGGATGCTTAAATTGGCCAAACCGAGAAACCACAAGGAGCTTTTATCGTGTACAAAAATGTGTTGTTCAAAAGTCAAGAAATTGATTGAAAAACGCAGGAAAAAGTGGCTTGTAAACCTGTGTATGCGGTCGGGAGGAGCGAAGCTCGTGTGATAATGCTCGTGTGTGCAAATGGTTATTATAGGATATAATCATATATTAAGATATTTATAAAGATATAAATAGATTGGGCTGCTATATATATATAGCGCTTTCATTGAATTGCTGCACACCCAACGCGCCTTACAATCGTATGAGGGGTCTCTCTTCATCAACCACCACGCTATTACAAGAGAAAGCTATGATAATCACAACATGTTGGACGTGATCCTTATGAAAAGTTTTGTTTTAGGTGCTGCTAACAGGACCAACAGCCACATGCCCTGTACAAGCAGCAAAGTTTCAGGAGTGACTGAAAAAGAACGACAGGAAAGTCGGTAATGTAGGCTACTGTTTTAGGCATGATAATTTCAGAAGGTTATTATTATTAATATTTTTAGTTTTTGTTCTTCTTCTTATTATTGTTGCTGTTGTTATTATTGTTATTTTGTTTTTAGATTCAAGATGCCACAAATTTAAAGGAGCTGTTAGAGGCAACAGAGCCATTGTTGGACTACTTGCTGACTGCTGGATGTCTCAGGCCTCTGAAAAGCGTTGAAGACCGTGATCTTCTTGTACATGACATCTTAATGTTCCAGATTGTCCACAGGGTCCAGAGAGCATTTGAAAGGTAACCTGTTTAGTGTTCAATTTGAAGCATATTTTTCTTGTTTTTTCTTTAGCTGAGAACAAAGAGTTTATCATTTATTTCACAAGAGTTCTTATGTCGTTTTGCTTCTTAAGTAAATGTATCTCGATTTAAAGGGATAGTTCACACAAAAATTAAAATTCTGTCATTACTTAACTCACACTCATGAGTAATATCTTAAATTATAATACAATATTTATTAATGGGTTAGTTAACAGAAAAATTAAAATTGTGGCTTAATTTACTCTCCCTCATGTCATTTCAAACCCACAAGACTTTTTAAAGCAGGGGAGTCCTGCAGGACCAATGTCCAGCAGAGTTAGATTTAACACACTTGCCTCATCCTGCAAGTTTTGGGCACGTGAGTTCCCAAACATGATGCATTATAGGGTACACCTAGCCTCAAATACCACTCAGTCAATAGCAAATACTTAAACTATTAAGAAAACATACTTACAGTAACTGATTCAGAATAAGCGCCATATTGTCTTAGCAAAGTCGAGATTGACCCTTTTTTTTTTTTTTTTTTTTTTTTTTTTTTTTAAGGTTGATTTTTCACTTGTGTATGTAAGAGGTTTTCAGTAATGCGTATGAATAAATTTCACTAAGGTTTATCAATGTTTTTTATTTCACTAGTGTTTGTAAGAGGTTTTTCGATAATTATGGCCTATACGGCCCCTCATAAAATTGAAATACTTGCCTGCCATTAAGGCGATGGATATGGAGGTTGTGGTGGAGGTTTGGCCAGCACCGGTTCCAGAATTAAATCAATAATTAATATTTATAAAATATTTAATAAAAATTAAATATGCGGATGTCATTCCCGAAACTTTGCAGGGTGTAGACTATGTGTCCGAAAAACGAAAGTTTCATATAAATTCTGATGGATTATAGCAAAGCGCGCTCCCTTTATCACTAAAAAGCGTAACTCATCTTCCTTCATCGCGATCTTGCAAAGTTCTGTTATAATCAACGAGGCTCTCTAAACTGCACAATGAATCTCTTACATCGCGTCTGCAATGAGATGATTCACGAGCGTGCAAAACTGTACTTAAAAACTGTGGCGCTTTCAGCGGTGAATGAATTTTGACAAAACGTTTCTGATTGGCCATTGCGTTTAAGAAATCAACAGATATGTCTGTGATTGGTTACATTGCTCAATGCTGCAAAAACATGTTGGATAGTTTGCCAGGGGCCCGTTCTTTGTCCGTCGCTAACTCAGTTAGCTGAATTTGATTGTTGATGATTTCGCTTGATCTTGGATAGTTTGGTTCTTCAAAGCTCATCCCGGAGTTGCTGTCATAGCAACAGGTCCGTGAGCTTAAACCTGCTCGGGAGCAGGCTTATTTCATGTAAACAGGATTAGATTGCATCTTTTTAAGCAGAATCGATACTTAAAATCTCTACCAAAATCGCTACCACCGCTACTTTATTATAAGAGTACCCTACTAATCCAGGGACAATAATTTAAAATAATAATAATTTAAAAATTAATTTAAAGATAATATAATAATGTTGTGTAGTCTTTAATACTATAAACAGTCAGTTTTACTCACTGAAATATTTATTCGTCATAAAATTATTACTTCATAATTGTATTCAAGTCTTACACACATGCTATACAGATAATGTAGAGTTGTGCATTAATTTGAGTGGTGACAGATATTATGGGAGTGGCTTGATGGATGCGCAGTAGATGCAGATAACATGATCTTGACCCTTAAGAAACTTTAATTAATGCTGTCACGTAACAAATCTGTTCAAATATAAAATTTTATGAATTGCTAATTACTACATTGAAATAAAAATGTAAAGCCTGTACAAATATTAGAAATCGTGAATATAAATATCCTAATTGGGAATCATGTAAAGAATTAAAATAAAATAAAAACAGTGCAAATTTCATTTATCTATTATAAAAT